ATTCTTATATCTTTTCAACTTCTCTACATTGGAATCTTTTATTCATTACAGAAATAACAATACTAACTGCAATAATTTGACCTATTACTATATACTAAAAGCTACAGCTTGACGATTCATTAAATTCAAATTCCTTGTTTTTAGACCTCAACTGAAAACTAATTCAAACTAGATGGCAAGTTTAACAATTTTTGATTCATATAAATCTTGCTTGTGAACTTTATATTTGTATTTCAACTTTGTAATTAGATCTATACTTATCTACCTAAGCCTTCATTCGAAAGAAACCTGGCCCAATAATCATGTACGCCGCTGTAGATATCTCAAAGCTACTACCTCTATGTACAAATATCACAAGAAACCAAGAATATAGGTCAATGCATATAATTATATGCATGTACGTTAGTACATGTATACGCTTATATTCTAGCACTCATGGGTCTCTCCAACGATGAAGGCGCCTGCATGCGGGAGACAGGTTGCTGAAAACAAAAAATTATGTACGTACAAGCTTTCCGGCGAGTACGGGAGAGTATGTGTGTATCATAGAGGGAGCATATTTGGGTCTACAATGACAAATGTCGAAGTGTCAAACTCATTGGGACCACGCGCTTTGATACGACACCTTTTGGAGGACAAATTCTTTAGATCTAAATTTAAATGGATTCTCGATTAAAATAAAAAAACTATAATTAAATTCAATGGAATAGCTTCGCGGATACGCATCTTAACCAACAAAATATCGAAAACTCAACAATATATGGGGTTAAGAAAAAAATCGTAATAACTGCTACTAAACTAACCAAAAAAACGGTATGGAGGAAAATGAAAACTTAGATATAGGAATTCATGTAAAGAAAGAAATACATAATTGAAGAAAAGTTCTCGCAATAAATTTAACATAAACGGATCATGTGCGAAGAAACAAACGGTGATAATTATAAAAAAGAGCAAAAAAAATAAACTAATTGAAGAATGACAGGAGAAAGTGTAATTTAAAATAGCAGGCAAAAAAAATATAGTGTAATGGGAGTAAGAAAAATTACACAATCCACTTTCAGAGCGCCTGGATCGGAGCGCTTGGAAGCTCTCGCTGCGCTTCCCGCGTTGATTCCTGTGCTTGGAAGGTTTATTAATTATGTATGTATGTATGATCTCCCTTCTCTATTTTATTATGTTTTTAATTTGATTTATTTAATTTAAATTTATTTTCTTCAATTTTACGTTATTTTAATTTAGTTCCATTTTAATTTAGTTTTCAATTTCACTTGATACTTCACCATTAAACGGACTTTTATATCACGAATTTTTTTTTTCAAGTAATAGCAGCACAATTAGCAAATTAACTGTCTTACCTTCTTAACAGGACTCCTTATGGCTTAGACAGCTAATAAAGGGTCCTCCACTGCTTATTTTAGCCTACTTTTGGCGAGATTTTAAATAGTGACTAGCACGCACTTCTTTTCCTTTCAGGGGCAAACCAACATTTGATTTTAGCGGTAGGTTGGCTGGCGATCGTGCCCCCGACCATTGGCTTCACAAAATTCTCCTTTACTTTCACTCAACTATAACTTTCATACTCGTACTCTCCCAGGTATACATTTTACATTACCCATACACGTATATCTTTCGCATTACACACACATGTATAACTTTTACCTTACACACACGTGCACTCACGTCACAATCACAAAACTCATACGTCCTTTCACCCATGTTGCGCAGCATGTTGAGGTACATGTTCGGGTTATGACTGGGATCCATGCATGTTTAGATGAGACTGATAATTATTTAGGGTAAGTTTTCAAACTAAAAGCTGCATCACACATCATTACATTCGTTGAGGTTATATTTCGCTTTTAAATTATTGAACATTTCGATATATGTTGGCTCCTTTGCAAATTCGCAAGGATGAGCACACATTTTGACTAGGTCATTGATAATTTTTTCAATTTCTGTTACTCTTTGAGTGTTGACTAGACACATACCGCGTATGTTGGAATCCGGGTTATCATTCTTTTATTTATGTATTACCCTTTCTTTTTGTACAGGATTTACCATCT